CATCATGTGTTGATTACCAGTTCTTTTTTTTTACTTTTGGGTGTTTTGATATTAATTCTTCGTTGTATTCAGGTAAAAATGTTGCTTCTGAATTCAGTCAATGATTTATTCACTCTTTTCTATAGTATACAGCTTTTGCCATAGCAGGATCAAAATTGGTACAACGTATTCGTTCGAAAGCTTTTGCATGTCTACTTCGTCAAGAAGTTGCTTATTTCGATCGATCTGAGAATAATTCCGGTACGATTTGTACTCGTCTTTCTTCGGATGCATCAACTCTACAAAACATGGCTACTACACGATTAGGATTCATCTGTGAAGCTCTTGCAATATCGTTTTTTGGAATTCTATTTGGATGTTTCATCAACTGGCAATTAACATTGATCGCTTTTTGTCCTATTATTATTCTTTTCTTAATCATCGTTGTGGATGTGTGCTTACGCAAATGGCTGAATCAACAAATTGATCCCATTATTGGACGAGTAAGCACGGTAAGATCAGGTTTGGCGTGATAAACTTTTTCTGGAGAGAAAATTATTTTATTATGAGTTATTTGATAAAATAAAATATACTATATTTATTTTGCCTTTTACTTTTACAGCTTGCTGTTGAAGTTATTCACAATATGCGTACAATAAAACAGTTGTCGATAGAAAAGGAAGTGCTACGACAATTTCGTGAATTTGTTCATGAAGTGTATATGTTAGTCGATCCAATGTTGTACGTCTATAAGTTTTTAATCAATCTCATTTTCTCATAGACCTTATTGGCAACCTTTGATACTATCTTCAGTGGCATATAGTATCTATTGGGCAGCAAATGCATACACTATGGCATTCTTGTGTGGGCGTGCTCTTGTCCTTTTTGAAAAGAACGAGCTTACCGCGAACCGAATTATAATGTAATTGAAACTACAGTTTGATAATAAAATAATGTTTCGTTATCTTTTCAATTTATTAGGGTGTTTGGTTTTGCTCTTTTTTCGTCGCGAGCGCTACGATCCATCGGCATGATGTAACATTCACGATTTCTACTTAGCTTTTTTCTCTTCTATTGTCTCAATTCTAGGTCTCGGCAAATCGCTGCATCCTTCTCAGCTGCTGAAGCGTTTTTTAATTTATTTGATCGAAAACCAGCTATTGACAATACATCTACAGAAGGACAAGAATTGGTAAGAGAACATAGTATATAACCATTTTCTTTTAATCATGTACATGTCATGGATATCATACGATTCATGTAGGTTGATTTTCGTGGAGAGATAAAATTTGATCGAGTCAAATTTATCTATCCAACTCGACCAGCATCTATTATTCTTGACGAATTTGAATTGAATATCAAACCAAGTAAGTGAGCTGAGTTTCGGTTTAATCATTTTTCTTTTGAAAAAAAATTTTTTCTTTAAAAAGGTCAGCGTGTAGCTCTTGTTGGTATGTTTGAATTAGACGTTTTATTTTAAATATTGATTAAGTAATATGATGCGTATAGGTGCATCTGGATGTGGAAAATCAACAATAATTCAACTATTGGAACGATTCTACGACGTTACAAGTGGTCGACTAGTTAGTATTTCTTCAACTTATAGTTTAAATAATCACATAAAATTTGTTCACTCAATCTAGCTTCTTGATGGCATTGATATCCGACAATTAAACCTTCAGTGGGTTCGTTCTCATTTCGGTCTTGTTAGTCAAGAACCAATTTTATTTGATTTAACAATTGCTGAAAATATAGCATATGGCTTAGAAAATGTCCCAATGGAAGACATTATAAATGCAGCAAGTAAAGCTTGTATTCATCAATTTATTGAACAATTACCTCAGGTTAAACAATACAAAATCACATAATGTATCTATTACTATTGTATAATATTTTTTTAGGGTTATGAAACAAAAGTAGGATTGAAAGGTAGCTTTATGTCAGGTGGTGAGAAACAACGTATTGCTATTGCTCGAATTCTTATTCGTCGACCTAAAGTATTGCTCTTGGATGAAGCTACGAGTGCCATGGATTCACACAATGAACAAGTTTATTTGTTTTTCTTTCCATTAAATAAACCTTCATCTTCATTTTTCAATTTTAGATTGTACAAGAAGCTCTTGAACAAGCTCAAGGAGAAGATCCTAGTCGAACATCACTCATTATTGCTCATCGTCTATCAACTATTCGTTCATGTGATTTGATTTGTGTACTTGATAGAGGACATATAATGGAAAGTGGTACTCATACAGAATTGATACAACGACGTGGAGCTTATCATGAAATGCTGGCTCAAAACAATTTATAATAATCATCAATGAACTATTGTGAAAGTGAAAATACACTTTGTTAAATAATAAGAGAAATTTTGCATAAAAACTCGGACGCATGGCATAGTTATATTGCTCAATTTACTGTACGATTTTTATTGTTAAACTCTCTCAAAACAAGTCCATCTCGGACAGAATTCTCTAAATTAAAATAAATGCATGGAAGGATAGCTGGAAGTTGAATCTTCCAGAAACAATATGAACTTTTATGTGTTACATCAATTTTTTGCTCAAAAAATTTTCATGATTTCCATCATCTTCTGCTTGAAAACTGTTTTTTTTCAGAAAAAAACGGAAATCTTTGTCATTTTTTTCTCTGTCTATGCTTTTCCGATCGCGCATCCCAGAAGTCTTGAAGGAGCCTGATTGTAGCCAATTCTTCTTTTTTTGTTTAGAAGAGTATGCAAAGTTGCAGTGTCTGACAGAGCCCGTTTTTTGAATGACGCATTGTTATTATTATATAATAATGCACTCCTATAAATCGATGGCCATTGTATGAGATTTTTTCGAGGTATTGAACTTGTCATTCTTTTTCTCCACATAAAAAGTAAGACTTTAGAAAAAAGGACTTTGTCCAGTACTACACTCTAACATATTCTTGCAAATTAAAAAAAAACAAATAAACATATAGAATGGATGTCCACAGAGATCTTGGGTTGCCAAATGAGCTATTTTTGACCCTTCTATGTTGAATATCTCCCAAAACCATCATGGTATAGAACTGAAAATTTTAGCATCGGGCGTGGATGTGTCTCGTCTCGCCACCCACTTACATCGACATCGACACTCTGTTTTGATTATACGCTACAATACCAGAACTATTGCTAAAATGATTGTTTGATGTTGATACCATTTGTAAATAAAATTGTTTTTTTTTCGTGTACAACAAATTGCGTAGTTACTTTGTTCCAATGTAAAACATCATCACTATCTTAATAAATAAGCAAAATAGAATGACGATCAAGTTGAACATTGGATGGAAAAATAGCAGATTTGTTAAAAGAAAAATATGTGCAAAAGTTTAAATTACTCGCATTATACTATTTAAGTAAAATTCTCCTCATATTAGAATTTGATGCATTTGCCAAATTCTAAGGAGAGAGCTTTCTTTTTTACCTTGAAACGTAAATCAATATCATTTTGCGTAAGGTAGGTGCATCCTGTTTGACATAAACGAAGAGAACTGGAAAGAATGGAGGCTATCTTATCTACTATGATAAATATGAATCGAAAGAGAACTAGCCATCTTGGTCTTGAGAAATAGTGAAAGAATCACACAGAGTGTTGTATAATTCTGCTGCAAATACAACGATAAGCGCATCCTTTTCACCATCAACATCTGACAATACTTGTTGTTTTTGACTCAAGCCATTTGATTGTTTCACCCTTTAATAGATAGAGCAAAACGTCTCAACGTTGAATATTCCACTATTAGATCATACATTTATGGGAAGTCTTCTGTTCGTTACTATTTATCTTATTGATTGGTTCAGCTTCTACTTTTTCATAGAATGCATTCCGAAATTTTTCTTACCTCAATTCAAGTAAGTTATGTTTTCTACTTTCTAAGGCACCGCATAAAAATATTATATTCACGATAGTTAGATCACAACAATTTGATTTATTGTTTCGATCGATACTCATGATACATAAAGTGCTTGATAGAAAGATGCGTTGTTATCATTCGTTAACTGTTAACGTGTGATCATTTGAAAATAGATGTTTTCAATAACTGAAACTATTACTGGTTTTGTGGCATTTTCTTTGTAAACATTTTTCAGAAAATTGATACATATAGTTAGCACCAAGTCTGTCATTACTATCAAGCTGTATATTGAGATGAATAAAGCAACATCAAGTTTCGAATAATCGTAATCTCATGTTCTAGTGAGATCAGAATTGCTTGATTATCATAGCGCCTAAATGAATGTAGTTATTAATTGATTTTTTGACTTATATGAAGGATGAAATCATGCCACAATCTATGATTATATTCTTGTTATGACAATTAGGGCGTGTGAAATCAAAGGAAAAAATGTCTTGGCAGCTGGTATGTGTTCGAGCTATTTCTGGTGTGTTCACTCTTTGAAGTAAGTATTGTCACATCAGATATTGAGCAATATTCTCAGTTCCAAACTACAACGACATATCTACTCTTAGCTGTTCAAAGGATTTTTCTCGACAAATGTATTCGTCTTGATCATATGATGATATCAACTAATGAATCATGACGTTTCTGTTGCATTATAATGGCTTTCTTCCTTTTTCGAAGAGTTAACTTTAATCTATTTTGACATGAAGTTTCATAACTTTTCAACAGAACTTTATTTACATCATGTGCTTGCATTTAATAACTACTTTTTTACAATATTATCCAATTGTGGACACTATTATTTCGTCAAATCATTTGTTTTGGAAGCAAATACAGCTTTTTCATGTCTCTGTTGGTGTTTAATTAAACTACAACTCCAACAAACAACAACGTAGAAGATCAATCAATGGATACTCATTTATGTATTTCATATGCGTACTGTATATGAATTATGACCTTGGTATGAGATTTGGACAGATTGGAACACTATTTGACAAAATCTTCTACTACTCATTACAATCAATAGTCTCATCGGTCTGATGATTATCACTTTTTGGTTGACTCCATATGCTGGACTTACAAAAAGACAGCACAATATTTTAATCCTCTCAATTGGAACATGAAACAATCCAATGATAAGAAACGAGAATAATTTGCAAAACACATTATGTTCATTTGTAAGAACGAATGTGCCGTAAAATACAAAAAATTAACAGTATTGTTTAATAAAAATCATAATTAATCAGTGATTTTCTAATATCGTATAACTTTGCTGAGTTTTTCATAATTGGAGTAGCGTTCAGTTGATTTTTTTTGTTGAGCGAAAAAAATCATTAGAAGGAACACATTCATAAAGTATCTTTAGTTCATTTGCTGATCAAACATCCGATCTACGTATTTGATTAGATGTACATGTCAGTCCAAACGAATGTTTTCCACATGACATACTAATGTGAGAACTGTTTGTGGATCCAATATGAGCTCAAACAACGGATGCCAGCTGAGATTGTTTCATCGTAACCCTTAGTCAAGTTTAAAAATAAATAAATAAATATTGTTAGAAAGTAAATCATTTCAACATGGAATTAAAACTGTTTAATTCCGAACTGATTATAAAACTATTTTCTGAATCTGACAGTGAGTGACCTCTATTCATATGTTTACTATCCAACAACATTATTACTAATCCTTTTCCTACATTTGGTTGATTTTCACTAGCCTATCAAATATAGATTTGGAAAGAGACTTAACATGGCGTAATTATTTTCTTTTTCCGTTTATTAATAACATTTTTTTCCAGTAAGTAAGTTTAGTACACCTTATATGAAATCTTTTTCTTTCAAGATAGAAAATTAAATTCTTCATCAACTATTTTGATATTTCAGGTATGTCATCAAGTTCTTCGTCGTCTGCAGCGACTAGTAACAATAATAAAACAATATCTAATGATGCTGAAGTACGTTTTACTATTCTGAATTTTTATTTATTTATATTAAATTTTGTTTTCTTATTTTTAGATTGACGCTTTTCAAGGCCTCGATGTTTCACGTCTATCAACCGAAGATATTATTGCACGATCACGTCTATTAGATAATGAAGTTAAAGTTTGTATATATTTATTTAATTTTCAATTAGTTTTTCAAAATTTAATTTAAAGATTATGAAAAATGATATTGTTCGTATTTCACATGAAACTCAATCAATGCGTGATAGAATTAAAGATAATAAAGAAAAAATAAAAGTTAATAAAACTTTACCATATCTTGTCTCAAATGTTATTGAAGTAAGATTTTTATTTGTTGTTTTTTTTTCTTATATAATTTATTTTATTTAATTAGTTATTTGATCTCGATCCACAAGGTGAAGAAGATGAAGGAGCTAATATTGACCTTGATGCACAACGTAAAGGAAAATGTGCAGTTATAAAAACATCAACACGACAAGTAAGTCAAAAGAGGAAACAACAAAGACATTAAGTTTTGATGTCCATTGTTTTTAAAAATTTCTTTTTTAGACTTATTTTTTACCTGTTATTGGTCTTGTTGATCCAGATGAAATGAAACCAGCTGATTTAGTTGTAAGTTTATTTTTATTTAATTAAATTTGTGTATTTAATATTAAATAATTAGGGTGTTAATAAAGATTCTTATTTGGTATTAGAAAAATTACCTGTTGAATATGATTCACGTGTAAAAGCCATGGAAGTTGATGAAAGACCAACAGAACAATATGGTGATATTGGCGGTTTAGATAAACAAATTCAAGAATTAATTGAAGCTGTTGTTTTACCCATGACACATAAAGATCGTTTTGAAGCACTTGGAATTCAACCACCAAAAGGTGTGCTTCTCTATGGTCCACCGGGAACTGGTAAAACATTATTAGCGCGTGCTTGTGCTGCACAAACAAAATCAGCATTTTTAAAATTAGCTGGACCACAACTTGTACAAATGTTTATTGGTAAGAATAAAATAGAAAAAAAAATTTCATTTTTTTTTGGCCTTTTAGGTGATGGAGCTAAACTAGTACGTGATGCATTTGCATTAGCAAAAGAAAAGGCACCAGCTATTATATTTATCGATGAATTAGATGCCATTGGAACAAAACGTTTTGATAGTGAAAAAGCTGGAGATCGAGAAGTACAAAGAACAATGCTTGAACTTCTTAATCAATTAGATGGATTTCAACCAAATCATGATATTAAGTAAATATATAATAATTTTAGATTTCAGGATTTTTGTTTTTTGTTTTATTCTATATAGAGTTATTGCAGCTACAAATCGTGTTGATATTCTCGATCCAGCTTTATTACGTTCTGGACGACTTGATCGTAAAATTGAATTTCCACATCCAAATGAAACAGTAAGATTATAAAAATGTTTGATTCTAAAACGAAATTAGATCAGGGTTCTCAATCAGAGGTGTAAGGAGCTTTCTTCTCCTAGAATGTCTGACTTTCTGTCGAATTTTTTATCCTTTCATTTCTAAAAACTATCGACAACCCTAAATTAGATATATTAATCTTTTGAAATTGTGTTCAATTTTTTTTTAATTTAAAGTATTCATAATATTAATTGGAAGAATTAAATGTAGACGTTGACATCAAAATCAAGAAATTTCTCTAGTTCAGCAAAAATGATATTTATGTTATTCTTTAAATTTTGATATTTAATTTTTTATATAACTAAGCACTTTATATAAATGTTTAACTTACATATCTTTAAATAGACTGTAAACTTTTATTGTTAAATAATTTAGCGAACAAAATGACAGGTGTTGTATTTTCAAAATCAATCTAGTACGAGACATTATATTTGTAAGATCATTAACGAAAATTTCATTTCAGAAATCAGAAGGACGATCTGTGAGATTAATATTTTTCACTTGAAAATATTAATCGAAGTCACTGACACAGAAGAGTAAAAACTAGAATTTGTATGATTTTTAGACATTGAATAAACAATTGAATTTAAAAAAAAAACTCTCGATTTCATCATAGTTTCTTGAATATTGGCGCAAACAACTCTTTATTTTATTTATAATTAATTCTCAGCTAGTATGGTTAAAACTGGTTCAATTGAAATAGTTCACATACTATTTTATTTTTATTTGAATCTGCTTATCGATTATTATAAGAACTTAGGTTTAATTGTCATACTTACACTCACAAGAATTAGGCTTTTCTTTTTCAGTTATGATCATTTTATTGCATTGCCAGCTTATTGCAGCAATCTAGTTTTTTTTTCAGCATCGACAATTTGAGAGCAAAACATATTATGCTGCTTGAAATTTTCAGTTTATTAATATTACACAAAAAAAAAAATTTTTTTTCCTTTTTTCGTTATTTTTACAGTGTATTTACAAATGTTCTTTTAGGCTCGTGCACGTATTATGCAAATTCATAGCCGTAAAATGAATACAAACAAGGATGTTAATTTTGAAGAATTAGCTCGTTGTACAGATGATTTCAATGGTGCACAATGTAAAGCTGTTTGCATTGAAGCTGTATGTATATATACATATATATATATATTAAGTAATTAAAAAATAATTTCTTATTTGTAGGGTATGATTGCATTACGTCGTAGTGCAGTTGAAGTTCAACATGAAGATTTTATGGATGCTATACTTGAAGTACAAGCAAAAAAGAAAATGAATTTGAATTATTATGCCTGATATAATCAAGTTTTAATCTGTTTGTTTGTTTTTTTTTCTTTCTTTCTTTCTATTATGACTTCAATCATGCGTTTCCATTGTTCTCTTTCTTTGTTTTTAATATAACACACAAAAAAATAAATAACTATATATGAAATTCCGAATTCTCTATCAACTATGATTATTTACAGATTTTGTCGGTTAGTGTGACTAAGTATCATAAGTTTTATTTGATGAATTAGATCTTTTTAAACGTTTATTGAATGATAATCATTAACAAGATTCATAGATTTTTGAAAAAAATTGTTTGATTTGCGAGTACATCAACAGATATATTCATGTTATTAGAAGGACCAAAATATTCTAAGATAGATTAACAATAGATTGATTGATTAATATCAAAATAATTTACCGTAATGTGGAATATTTCCAACACCAATACCAATCATTACTATTATTGTTATCAAAGATAATGCACAGAAAAAAAAAATACCGAATCTACGTGTTGCTGGATCTCTTGAAAAGAAGACAATAAAAATAAAATCAACAAAAGAGATCATGCTTATCGTTTGTTTTTTACCCATGAATTGGATGATATGAAGTAGGTGGTGATTGTAATGGTTCATTAGATTGTATTTTCATGTGTCGTTATTTTATTTATATAGAATTCAAATAAAGGCAACAGTACTGTTATTTGTTTTTTCTTCTTTCATTAGTTTTTTATAACTCAAGGATAAATATCATTTTTTTTTCTGCAATATGTCACGCATCATTAAGTAATTCATTAATATTTTTTTTTCTTATAGTAGATGCTTCAATTTTAAACATTGTTGATTGAAATATTTGATTACTATTGATTATCATGAAGAATTGTTATGTACATATATCTTTACTTCTACCTTCCTTAGACACTTTAATTAGTTTTTCTTCTATGTGTTTTGCTAAATTAGACAGTGTTTTTGTTTTGTTTTTTGGTAAATCAATTGAAATTATTGTACAAATATAACTGGAAATTATTAAGATGTTCGATCACGTGAAGAGATAAACATTTTATCAATGTAGTAAAAACTGAAATATTTGTCTGTAATATTCAATATTTTATTTTCTTCTACAAATTCAAAACGACAAAAACACAAACTTGTCAATAAAATAAATACGAATTTTCGATGTACATCGCTCTCTTAGTCCTTTACACTAAAAACAAATAATTATAGCATTTTCAATTCGTTATACAGATATCGATTATTTTAATTTCTTCCTCGACGGTTGTATTATCTGAAATGTCATTGTTTCAACACAATTTACTAACAAGAATTCGAATTCAACATCTATCTAGAGATTAATAGAGGTTTTAATGAAAACTTCTTCCAATATCAGAAGATAAATTGATTTTAAAATTCGAATCAGTCTGTAGATTGATGTCTTGTTCGGATTCTTATTGATGAAATAAGAGGGAACAAGAATATTTCAATTCATATAATCGCCAATGAACGAATTCAGCAAAGACTGGAATGTATTGAAGCAGTTCTTATATGTAAAACTATCCATAGCTTCATGGATACAAACTTAATTGATCGACTGATGATTGTATTAATTGAAATGGCATTGATCTCACTTATTTCATCAATAAGAATCCGAATACGATATCGATCTACAGACTAATTCGAATTTTAACATGAATATACTCCTCAATCCAATGTTGGACTCTTCTAATCTCGGATCGGACATTCGCTTAGACCAATCCGAAATTGAATCTAAAACCAGTTTAGACGCTAACATGTATATATATAATATTGTTATGTCCTTTTATATCTGCAGTAAAAAAAAATGTTTCTAGTAATATATATTTTGCACATATTCCTGCATGGATGTATCATAAAAACTTGATTTTTTTAAAATGAAAGATGTATTAAATGCTTTAATTCCACAGTTATCGAAATTCATTTCATTTCTGTATCTAAATAATGATCGCATTTGACATACTTTTTATTCTTTCTGACGATTTTCAAACATCAAGAGTATTACGCTATTCAACGATGAGTTTATGTGCAATGAACTTGATTGGAATAGTAAACTTGTTATTTTCTGGAGCATCTATGTTATCGTTATTTAACTGTCGTAAAAAGTTTTACGATGCATCTCTTAGAAAAAAAAAAATTCAAGGCTTTATAATTTGTCTTTGCTGAAATATTTGCACAATATCCGATGTTACAATCATTTTAACTCACCTGTTATGTGTCATATCGAAGTTGTATTGAATATGTTAAACGAGTAAGAATTATATAATTTCGATGGGATCATCAGAATAGTCCTTCGAGTAAATATTCAGCTGAACAAAAGATATATATTTTTTCATAGAAAAAAATCAATGATATACAAAATATTAGTAGAAAGATACATTTGTTTTTGTGTTCGATTACTCTTTGTTTCGTTCTGGAAGTGAAAATCTTGAACGCTAGAAAGATTATCGCTTGAATTCATAAGGCATAATTCGAAATAACAGTATTGATCGGTAGTCAATGTAAACCGCAAGCTTGTTTGTAAATTGTATACTAAACACTTATTAGTCAAAATCTCTTTTCATTTTCCATCGAATACGAAAATCTTACTTGTACTTTCATGATTCAATAATTTTCGGAGATTTTCTACTTGAAACCGACTAAGAAGAGTATAGTTTAAGAATAAAAATATAAAATTCGAATAATTCAAACTGTTAACCTTTTGTAAGTATTTTCATACCTTCTTGCAAATAATACTTTATAACTATATCATTGGCTCCTTTTTTGTTTTTAAAGAAAAATATGTCTGTCATTCAGCTAACTATGTAATCACAGTATTTTTCCAATTATCCTATCCATATATTTAATTCTTACTCATTTAACTTAATCAAAATATATTAAATTTTATGTGACATATACAGGATAACTCATAAATAACTAATCGATAAAAATACTCAATATCGCCAACCTACTTTAATCAATCGGACCAGTTTTTTCCTAGATAAAAGAGAATTCTTCAAAGTTTTAATGCATAAAAACACTCTCAAATAGATACTGTTTTGAACTAGCACTATCGACCAAAAGTATTTCAGACTAGATATGTGAAATTTTTAATGTAAATACTACTTTAGAAATGAAGACTAACCTGGTCTCGGCCGCTTGGGTTGAAGAGGGAGGAGTTATGATGTATGATAGCTTTTCTCATCAGGAGTCCTATAAGTCAAAAAGGAAAGAAGTTTATGACTCGGCGAACCTATCATATGTCATAGCTCGTCTTCAAGACAAGCGAATGAGACCGAGATGGTCTCGTTGGCCTAAATTTTTGAAATAGTATATACGCTGAAAATTTTATATGTGTAGTCTTACGATTGAATGAGAGATACTTTTGACCAGTAGTGTAGTTCTTATTGACAATTTCCTTGTGAAGAAAAACTTTGATGAGTCTTCTATCACCGAGGAAAAAGAAATCAGTTCGATTGATTAAAGCAGGATGTAAATATTGAGTATTTGTGTATCATCATATCCATTTTCTATGTTCTCATATGTCAAATCATAGCCTAGGCAAATATTTTATTACAAAAATTTAATATCATAAATTCTAATAATTACTATTGCATTTCATTGAATCATATCTGGATTTGATTATATTATGTTCGACATGTTACTGATCTATTTTTGTTCTCTCTGATTTAATAATTCTTTATATTTGATGACAGAGAGAAAATCAAGGATACAAGTATCATTTCTTTTTCTTATAATACAAACAAAAAATTCTGTTGTTTCTTTATTCTTTTTCTTTTTTTCACTATAACGAAAAGATACCTTTTTCTATTAATGAAACATGATGTATATGAACATTGAAGGCTTCGGTTAATATATGAGGGCATAAAAAAAAAAATCGAAATGTAATACTCAGAAGACACCTCGGTGGTAGATTTAATGGCTTTCTCTCTAATAAAAAAAAAGTATTGGACGAATAAAACTATTGTATATTTATATACGGAAGAATATGAAAAATCTATTATTTTTTCTCTTTACTTACTTAAGGTTCTTCTATTGTATTACAAAAGAAATAATAAGTGAAAAAGTGGATCGTTGAATTAAAGAAAAAAAAAGAATAAAACTAGTAAGTCGACTGTTGACACTTCACATTTGTGATTGTCGACAATTACTAAACGATTCTATTTCTTATTTGACAAATGTATTATAATATTTTGTTGACTTAATCATTTATGAATAAAAATTTATCAAATTAATAAGACAAAGAAAAGAAAATGAATGTTACACGTATATTTCCGATTGAAAACCGTAATGGTCGATTTAGCAATATGCGAATGCATTTACAACCTACAGTGAGTATTCAATGTAATCTACTACATATATATTCTCTGGAAAAAAAATAGTGTCACTCGATATTTTCAATATATCATCACTATAAATGAACATATTGAGAAAAGTAATTATATATTCGGATGGTGCGTGGAGTTTTCTACAACTCTATATATGTTCGCTTTAAATTATGTTTGTTTATTAAAAATAAATTAAAGAACAATGAAGGTACCCTCATCGTCAGATTCCCTAGAAATGCATTTTTTCGCCATTTTTCGTTCAATTTTTTATCCTGTTATCTTCATTTTTTCAAATTTATTTATAACGTAGAAACAAGTTATAACAAAAGTAAGTATATATTCTGAAAGCACGTGCAATACTCTATCATCCTGTATTTTTGTCAGTCTTGACTTGCCACTTATCTGATAAACAAAAAGGAATAAAAAGAATTGAAGGTAACCGGGAAATCTGACGCTGAGGATGCCTTCATCGTTCTTTAATTTATTTTTAATAAACAAATGCAATTTAAATCGAACATATATAGGGTTGTAGAAAACTTCACACACTATTCGAATATGTAATAACTTTTCTCAACATGTTCATTAATAATGATGATATATTGAACATATCGAGTGACACTATTTTTTCTAGGGGGATATATCTTAAGGAGGACACTATCTACCCTGATGTAGTCTCTAATTGCAGAGTTCATTTCGAGAACTGAATTTTCAGTTTTTCATGCTGAACAAAACGTGAAAAATACGAAAAAATAGAAAATCTTGAAATCGAGTTTTTCATAAAATCTCAAAGTTTTTCTCTTTTTTTTTTCGTTAAAAAATATTGCTTGGCAGATATTAAAAATCTACACCATGTCAGAAAATACAGTTGTTTTTGTCTAAAAGGCTTCAATTATTCAAGATTTTCCGACGAAAAAAACAAATACACACGCCCAATTTGTTTGTGTAGATGTTACACAAAATATCGTTTGTAGTAGGATGGAGAACAGCACGAAAAACTTTAGATCATTTTTAACCATTGAATCTCTCATATCATTGAAAAAAGTTGGTCTGAGAACTATGAATCTAGCAGGAAAAGCAGATAAGGCTTTCTTTAAGTAACAAATAGAGAAAATATTTATTTCAAACTTATTTCAATTACAAAATACATAACTCTAAAACACAGAGAAATTCATCTGAAGAACGAAATCTAATAAATGTATTTGACAAAAAATTCTTTCAAGATTTTTCTTCTTTTAACAACTAAATGATTTTTATATGAAATTTCTTATGATTTATTTTATCATTAGTTGAACAAAATGTTTTGTATTTATTCTAGCCACCAATCCCTATCACTTATGCTACAGCAGCAATTCCAGCATCTGCTCCATTTGGTACTGAATATACACCTGAACAAAGAGTAAAAATTATTGGTAGTCGATGTGTTTTAATACCTCAATCAATTACATCTATTCCTAGATTTCCTCCAGAACCATTAATAGAAAAAACGTAAGTTGTTAAAAATAAAAAAAAAAATTTTTTTCTTATGTATATATAATAACAGTTTCACTTCCTCATTTAACCGAACAGCTACATAAACATAACCGGCAAATTTAATCAGAAAAAAAAGAAATATTTTTCTAAATTGATTTCACGCTTTTTGATTTATTCTGTCCTTTTAATAGAAAAAAAAAAGATTGAGTACCATTACGACCGCAAGAAATGATCAAATAAAGTACGCAAATATACTCTCTTCGTTTTTTCTCTTTTGTTTCGATACAAACACAAGCAGTAACCGACGAAAAAAAAAATGAAGTTACCCAAGCAACTAAAGTTGCTCTTTTTTTTATCAAACGACAGAATGACAAAGTAGTAGCAACACACATACAATAAAAGAGTAAAGAGAAAGTGTTACTTAGTGTGTGTTTATTGACAACTTCATTTTTCTTTTGATTTATCAAATTTTGAGTTTGTTTCTTTTAAAAATAAAATGGCGTTTACACGATATTATCCTATGTCAAATCATATTTAGTATGATAATATTTGAACATTTTTTAATTAATATAAACTAACATATATTTTGTTGTTGTTTTTTTTTCCAGTGATCCAGCAATAGCTCCAACAAAACCTATTCAACATGTTACTGCTTTGGATAATTCTAAATCACAACATCAAAATATATCAAGATTTGATACAACTTATCGTACGGAATATACTAATCGAATTCGAAATCATGTATCTAATCAAGTATGTGTATTACTATATCGAAAGAAAATAATCCATAATATGTAATTTGGATTGTTATATAACCATTGTAGGAATATATCTCTTGATATAAGTAATAGTGAATTTTTTACAAATCATAAATGACCTTTGTGATTATTCAAATCGGATAAAAGTTGTCAGTAGACTGTTCAATGGAATTGTATACTATAGCAACCGTAGTACGAATAAACATGCAACATGAGGAGAAACATATCACAAACTTTCAAGTTTGTTTTTTTATTTGTTTATCATCTTTGTGAAGGACGCTTTTTTTCTTTCAATTTTGCAAACAAAACATATTAAGAATCATTTTTCTTTCGATTAAGTATTTTAAAGATATCAAAATTTCTATTACTCATTTTTACTTTATTTCTTCTTCTGGTGTCATCGACTAGTATTTTTGTTCGAAATACAAACAACGAGACTTTCTCCTCTAAAAAACATATTTCATTCGTTTCGAATGTTAATAGTGTGACAAGCACTTCAAACATCTATCTGTTCGAATCTACACTGTTTAATATATATGAAAGAAACAATCAAACAGAATTTAAAGAATTGCACATTTTGAATTGTAAGTTATTGTACAAAAAAAAGAAATTTTCAGAACATACTCAATGACAAATATCCTATTAGTTTTCTTCCTTTCGCATATATAAACTCCATCTGTTTGAAATGAAATATTGACAATGTAAATGCATCGAAATTAAAAAGCAAAAAAAAACAATTTCTTTTTTTTTTTACAATTTTTTAAAATAAATAAAAAAGAAAATGTCGAACTTTGAATTATAATAACGGAAAAATGAGATTGACTTAAATGTTATAGTAAAAGAGTAAAACTTATTTTTACTCTTTTTAACATATTTTTTCTTTTTTAATCACAAATAATAATACTTCTTTTTTAAGAAATATATGATTTTTTTTAATATTATTTTTCATTAGGACTACTATACAAAACCAACTCGACAATTTAAAAATGCTCTCAATCAATATCCTGTATTACCACCAATTTCTGCAAATAATAATCGAACTGAAACATCAGATCGTAAAAGTGTAACAGATGGTCAACAACAACAACAACAACAACCATTTAATGATCAAGTAGTACCTAGTAATGAAACAATGCCACCATTAAATTTTAATAATGATAGAGAATATTATGATCAACAACAACAACAACAACAACAACAACAACCACTGATGAATAATGAAGATACATATTTACCTGAAGAACCAGTTTTATTAACTGACTATGAAGAAGAACGTTTAACTGAACAAATTCGTTCACAATTAGGAGGTACTGCAGCAGTTGATCGATTAAAATTATTATATCAAGAATTAGCTGCTTATGATCCAAATATGACAGGTTATGTACATTATTCAAATATTCAATTGTTGACTTATCAACTTGGAGTAAAAATTCTGCAATAATTCTTTTTTTTTTCTTGTTTTAAATAGATAATATTTTTATTTAGCTTTACATGGCTGATGATACACTTCGTTTTGCGATGTGCAAATTTGTTTCACTAGATCGTCAACGTGGTTTTGTTAATTATGAAGATCTTATTCGATATTTTGGAAAATGTCTATCATCAATTTCTCCTAATCAATATGAGTAAGCTATATCTCATTTTCAAATTAAGTAAAAAAAAAACATAATAGATATCAATGTCTACACTCTTGAGAACAGTAAAACGGTCCTATAATCTAAATATACACACACATAACTTCATTCTCGTTTCGTCAGTTATCACTTTACAGGAGTCGCCAGTACCAGTTTGGTAAATACTGGTCACTGCACACCATCTATCACAATATACGTAAACGGTAGGCATGCAAAAAACAAAATACCACCGATCTATATAATACTTGTCTATAGATTTGCTCCTGAATGATTGCTTGCAAATTAATTGAGCTTAGCACAATGATACATTGTTACAAAAGTACATATTAATCAAATATTTTCTATTTTAGTAATCAACAGCAACAGCAACAACAACAACAACGACAGGAACGAAATAGTCCACAAAAACCGATAAGACCTAGTGGTAATCAATTTTCAAATGATAATGATCAATTTGATCCTGATGAACGACAAATACGAGTTTTATTAAAACAAAATTTAAAACAATTTGATCTTAGTGGTACAATTGATTTTGATAAATTAACTCATGAATTAAATAATGTTGATCGTAATCAAAGTGGAGTTTTAAATCGACAACAAATTGAAGAAGTTGTTTATAAAGTTCGTATACCATTTCAACGTTCATTAATATATCAAATACTTGAAAAACATTGTCGAGTATCGCCAAAATTATATGAGTAAATATATTTTTTTCAATAAATAATAATAATAAGCAAAAACAAGAGAATTTTGTTTTTTTATTATATAGTTGGAAAAGTTTTGTTCGATATTTACAAGAACAAATATTTGATATAAAACAAATTCAAGATCGATCAAGTCCTGTTTATGCACAAGTACAAATTTAAAATTTTGTTTTTTTTTGTGCTTTTTTAATATTTTATTCTTAGTATGTTCCAAGTCGTAATCAATGGCTTGATGAACTGCAAAGAGAATTTAATGAAAAAAATCGTTTACGTATTATTGATCGATTCACCTCTAATAATGAAGGACTACGACTGGTAAATAATAAAAAAACAAAACATGTTTTCTAATTCATAGAAAATTCATTTGATATTATTTTCTAGGAAAGTACACATCCAACGGCTTGGTTTACACGATTTTTACGTTTGGCTAATGCTATGTATACTCATCGTCGTAGTTCGAATATATCACGTATGTGTGTCTGATAAAATGGATTATTTTAGTTTATTTTTATATTTTTCAGAAGACTTTGTATTACCTAAAGAAGAAGCTCGTCGACTTTTTCGTGCTTATAATCATATATGGGATTTAAAAATTGATGAAAATACAATGCAAAAAGTATTTGAAGCCTGTTCTCGAAATGGACATGTTGTTGTTGACGAAGCGCTTAAACAACTTGCTAAATAAACAATTTTTTTTAAAAATATTCACAATGTTTTGTTTTACATTTCAAAATTTTTTCTTTAAATATTTAATGTTTTAATAAAACAATGATTCTTAATTGATTGATTTTAGTCGTTTGAAATTAGTTTATACTAAAAATATCGTTTATAGGCTTTGGGATCATCTTATATAGGGTGTCCGGAAAGTCACTAGAGTTAGAAAAAATTGAATATCTCCGCTACGGCTCGA